GGCAACTTCATTGATGTATAAGACTTTCTGCCTGGGCAGCGAGTATTAACCATAAACTGTGCTCTGGGTCTACAGTTAATTTTCACTCGATTTTTCCTCCACTTGACTTCAAAAGACACAAAACACACGTAATAATACGAATCAAAATGCATCATCTTCCAAAACGCAGGGTATTTAACAAAGTTGACACAAAATTATAACCTATAATTTGGCAAGACTTTGACAAGCGTCAAAAATGACAAAAATCTAAAGGCAGTTCATACGCATCGGCGTCCGTTTGTCGTTCATCGTTCCGTCAAACCAATAAAATTGAAATACGATCTGTCATTTTTTAAATAAACCAATAAAACTGGTTAAAAACAACAAGACACGACGCATGACGGATTTATATTTAAACCCATCCATAGATAACTTAAAAATGATTAGAAACTTTTTTTAGTAAAATAAATAGATTGGTATGGGACGTCATCTGCTTTTCTTCTGTCATCGTCTGTCGAAATCTTACCTGAGAAAAAAAACAGAGTATACACGTTGTTTTACATTTTAAATCACATTTTTTGATGTTATTAACTTTTTTTATTTTCACCAGTGGCGTTCTTACGGTATTTAAACTAAACATTATTGAAGAAAAAAGTGGTACGCCACTGGTTTTTAAAAAAATAAAAAATATTTTTAAAATTTTTAACATTCAATTTGGAACAAATTTGATCTCTTGACTTTTTTTCGTATGACGCATTGTTTTTGCGTAAAAAAATAAAAACCATTTTCATATATGACCAAATCGCTCTAATATTAATGTAAATTTTCATGGCAAAATTTGAAAAACGACAATTTAGGTTTTTGGACATTTTGGTCAAATGTCCAAATTTTGGATCGCACTTAGGCAATAAAAACAAGATTTTGGAAAATAAAAAAAAATAAACTTAAATTTGCCGTTTTACAAATTTTTCCACTTAAATTTACGGTAAAATTATAGCGATTTGGTCATGTATGAAAATGGTTTTTATTTTTTTTACGCGAAAACGGTGCGTCGTACGAAAAAAACTCAAGAGATTAAACTTGTTCCAAATTCAATGTAGATTATTTAAAAATATTTTTTATTTTTTAAAAAACCAGTGGCGTACCACTGTTTAGTTTAAGTACCGTAGGGACGCCACTGGTGAAAATAAAAAAAGTTAATGTGATTTGATGGTAAAACAACGTGTACCAAAATTCATTAAATTATCTTCAGTGGTATGAAAAATATGATAAATTTTTTTTTCTTAAAACTTTAACATCCTGTAGTTTGAAAACTAAGCATTTGCGAACCCATGTTTATTTATATGACACTTTAGCCCTAAACTATGCACAAGAATCACTCCTTTCAGTATTATCGTTTACTTACCGGACACCCTGTATAAATCATAACAAAAATAGGAACATTCTTTTCTAATGTAAGTCTTTTTTTAATATTCTAATGAACATCATAACAAAAATAGAAACATTTTAACATTTTTTCTAATCTCAAGTTTTTTTTATTCCGATACTGAAATATTAGGCACAATAATTTCCAGCACATTGGCAACTCTTCCTAAAGCATTGGCAAAGCGCTCGGTATTTGCCTCAATCCGTTTCAGTCCCTCTGACAGTTCCTTATAATGTTGCACACTCTGTTCCTGTGTCTCTGTGTGCATCCTATTGAGAGACATAAACCTCCGAATGCCGTATTCTTTTAGCAGCAGGAGCAGCAGTTCTATTCTCTGCTGCTCGTATTCCACGTCCCAATGATGAGGAAGCGCTGACAGGTGTAGGGGAATTTCGCTTAAAATGACATATGCGGGTAAAATGACATACTGCCCAAATTTAAATTTCCCGCGATACTACTGGTGTTGTTCTATCTCTACTTCTTCCTCACATGTGCGTCACGTGACACACTTAATACGGGATGTCAATCAGTTGGCTTGTAGCTTTTAGACGAGTATATGTGTTTTGAGTCAGAAGCAGTTTTTTAGTAGAGTTTCGTTTTTCGTATTTTCAAGTTAATCGTAATTTTTTTAGAAGTTATTATTACAAGGCAGGTAAGTTCCATCCGTTATCTAGAATATCCAATGCTAATGAATCTAATAATTCTATTTTGTGAAAAGTTAGAACAATTAAATGCTGCCAATGTATTTATGGGTAATATGACATAGGGCTTATCAGTTTAAAATGACATAGTATGTCATTTTAAGCTTATTTTTTTTTATTTCTAGAGATGGTGGGAAACTACCCACGAAAGTCAGATAGACAGCAGTGGAGTCAAAATGACATGAAAGAAGCGATTCAGTCCATCGAACGAGGGGAAATGGGTTGGCTAGCTGCAGCCAAAAGATTTAATGTCCCTCAAGCCACTTTGAGACGTAGGTCCCAGAATGTAAATAAACGTATTAAGGGATCAGATAAAGGTCTTGGAAGATGGGGCACTACTTTTCCGCCTGAAAAGAAAAGAGAATTAGTGAATTACATAAAAAAGTCGAAGAACAATTTTATGGTTTAACAACTACTGAACTCCATCATTTAGCTTATGAATTTGCAGAGCAGAATCATTTACCACACCGTTTCAATTAAGAGAATAAAATGGCTGGATGGGATTGGCTTTATGGGTTCCGGAAGAGAAATTCTGACATATCGCTTAGACAGCCGGAAGCTACGTCAGTAGCCCGGGCTTCGGCGTTTAACAGAGTGCAAGTAAAAAAGTTCTTCGACATTTTAGAAAATATTATAAGGGATAATGAAATTCCACCAGAAAGGATATACAGGGTGTCCCAGAAATGAGTGCAGATATTTTAAGGGGTGGTAGATCTGGTCAAAATAAACATATTTTCTCTTTACCATTTTTAAAATAAATTGAAAATAACCGAGTTATTTAACTTTGAAAATTTAAAAAAATAATCGCAACATTTTGAGAACCGCCGGTAGATATTGCCAATTACATCCGATTACCCGGATCAAGCCCGGATTTCAGTTAATTCGACGCACTGTGTTGCCATATGGACAAGAAAGTATATGTTTACAAGTAAGTCATAAAATCACAACACCTGAAGAGTTTGCAGAGATGCATTATATTTTTAAGATTGTGATATTATTACATAAAATAAATTAAAAGTTAAATGTTTAAAAGTTAAATTTAAAAACTTACCCAACAATAAAAAAGATATTTATCACAGATCGATGTAACTGCGACAGTTCTCTTTTTCGATACACACTTAACTAAAATACACTTCATTGTGCTGCTTTACTTGTACGTGCTATTATAAAAACTGCTAAAATAACAGTCCCCATTTAGGCTTCATCACAATTTGAACCACTGATTTACAAAAAACATTGAAAAGCACACATTACACATTACTTTGAATATCCTTCTGAATGAATAAATGTTGAGAATTATTGTCTCTTACCGCCACTTTACGAACTACTGTCAATCTAAGAAAATACATGTTTCACTCAACAATTTTAAATACGTATTTTGCTTTTTCGCTATTTTTTCGATGTATTTCGACAATTCCGTCAACAGTCCAACCGTCGGCCAAGACAGCCACGCATCACTGGTTGGTAATTGCTCACTGCTTCTTTGTCACGCCGGCGTGTCGAGCTTCCGTCATGCGAGGTTGCCGTAGTTTCAACAATTTCAAATTCAAGACACTCGAAGCAATCAAATTCTTATTAAATTTTAAAAATAAAACAGAAAAACATGAAAGGAAACAAACAAAACACAAATGAATTGATTATCGATAAGGTCACAAAAAAGAAATTTCTAAAATGTTTATCGTAATTCAGAATTCAATATATCGAAAACAGCCCGACGAATAATCAATTCATTTTCGTTTTGTTTGTTTCCTTTCATGTTTCTCTGTTTTATTTTTAAAATTTAATACAAATTTGATTGCTTCGAATGTCTTGAATTTGAAATTGTTGTAACTACAGCAACGTTGCTTAACATCGTCGTCTGACGCAAGCCTGCCACGACGGCGCGGCTCAAAGGACCAGTTCACACGTGGCACTCTTGGCCGACGCGCGACGTTTGGGCTGTCAAAATACATCGCAAAAATAGCGAAAAAAACAAAATACGTATTTAAAATTGTGAGTGAAACATGTCTTAGATTGAAAGTAGTTCGTAAAGTGGCGATAGAGACGGTATTCAAAGTAATGTGCGCTTTTCAAGGTGTTTTGTAAATCAGTGGTTCAAATAAAACAGAGAAACATGAAAGAAAAAAATATTTAATTCTAAATTACGATAAACATTTTAGGAATTTCTTTTTTGTGACCTGGTTGTGAATAATATGATGAATCATTTTCGTAAACGTCATAAACGTAATGTTTTAGTTAATTTTCGGTGGTTTTTGTTAAGTTTTCATTGAAAGGGTAAGACTAAAAATAATTAATGTGTTTTTTTTCTATAATAATTATTAATAATGAGCACTGATAAAATAATAATAAATTTAACATTCCTAATTTTTGAGTAGAAATTTTTCTATGAATTTATAAATGTAGAACTATGTAGAATGTGGATAACATAGGAGGTTGCAACACTGCAAGGTTTAGATACACCGTAGAGAAATCTCAGGTGAATAAACAAGTGGTACTAAAAAGTTTTTTCAAATTTCCCGGAAAATGTCAAGAAAAATTTTAAATTTTCAACATTTTTTTTTCGCAAAAAAAACCTCATAGGCGTGTTTCTGGGGTTGAACTATACTACCAGTTAAAATATTTGCACTTATTTCTGGGACACCCTGTATAATATGGATGAGTCAGGACTATCAACGGTGCAAAGACCATCTAAAATTTTTGCCACGAAAGGACGGAAACAGGTTGGAACAATCACCAGTGCTGAGCGTGGTGCTCATACAACTGTTGTATGTTGTATGAACGCAATAGGCTCATTCATTCCCCCCGCAATGATATTTGCAAGAAAAAATTCAAAGCCAGAGTTGACGGATCATGCACCCACCGGGACTCTTCAACTATGTCAAGAATCCGGCTGAATGACTGGAATGTTATTTGAAAAATGGTTATCGCACTTCGTAAAATATTCCAATGCATCCGTGGATAGAAAAGTTCTGCTAATCCTTGATGGTCATTCTAGCCATAAATATCTACCAGCTCTAGAATATGCGAAGAAACATGGTGTTGTTTTGCTATGCACACCACCTCACTGTACTCACCGTATCCAGCCTTTAGACGTAAGTTTTTTTGGACCTTTATCAAACTACTATAATCAAGCAATTACCAAATGGATGAAGGCAAATCCGGCCAGAACAGTGACGGCGTTTCAAGTTGGGCAACTATTTTCGGAAGCCTATGAAAAAGCGGCTGTTATGGGCAATGCAGTTAGTGGCTTTAAAACCACCGGCATTTACCCTCCAAATCCAGACATTTTTCCGGAATGGATGTTTTCTCCTTCTGATGTCACGAACCTGGTCTTAGAAGAACCATCAGATCAAACTGATCTCACTGAACCTGGATGTTCAGGTTTGCAAAATCAAATTAAAAAGCATCCATTAGAAATGGATACTTTTCAACAATCGACAAACTCAGAACAAGAAACAGAATACTAGATAGTAAGGCTAGAAGAGATAAAACCCACTCCAAAAGCCGTGGAAATAAAAAACAAAAGAAAGAGAAGAAGCCAAGGTCCGTTGGTTTTAACTTCAACACCAAATTTAGATGAATTAAAAGAGAAGGCAGAAAAACAAAAAATACCGACGAAAAAATTTAGGTCTAAGAGACAAAAAGTGTCGCTCGATATAATGAATCGTTTTGAAGACACAGAAAATGAAGAAAATCACGATCCTTTTTCCACTACTAGCGACGACAACGATGAGGTTGCTTGCATCTACTGCAATGACCTTTATTCGCGATCGAAACCTATGGAAATGTGGGTAAAATGCCCGTCATGCATGAAATGGTCTCACATTGAATGCGCCGGAATAGATCCAAAAGCTAAGATGTTTACTTGTGATATATGTGTTTGATCTTCAACATAGTAGTCGATGTATGTGATAAAAATGAGTTTATTTTTGCAGTGTTTAGTCCTGTCATTTTATCCGAGTATATGTGCCTAAAATGACATAGAGTATATTAGGTTAAGATTATTAATTTAAATATGTTTGTATTTGTTTAAGTCAGTAAATGTTCCTATACTAACTTGATAAATGTTCCTATGTTATTTGTTCCTATTCTGGTTGTTGTCGTTTGTAAAATAAAAAAGTTATAGAGTTTATTCTAAAAAGTATGTCATTTTAGGCGAAATTCCCCTAATAGGTGCCAAGGGGGGTATTGACATTGAGCTTTCTGTGGCTGGTGGTGTTTGCGGTTGTGGCTGTAGAAACAAAAAGTTTTTCAGAAAGTCAAAATATAACATTTGAAAATACTTTGTTTGAAGAATACCCATGTGTTTGAAAATAGTGTTTTTTTTTAGAACATAAAATACTACATTCCCAACTCAAGATTCTTGTCCCCATTCGCAGCTCTCCAGCCTAATAAGGCCATTAGCCGCTCTTCCGTATCATTTAAAGGAATGGCTTTTGAGGGACCACCCCCAGTCTTTTCTCCCTCGATTCTAAGTTGGGCAGCTTTGCTTTTAACTTTTGACTTCTATAGAGTTACAGCCTAGGAGAATTATCACAACTTCTATACTTATCACTTACTTAGTATTTAAGCATTATATTATAATTTAATATTGATAATAACTTAAGTAACATACCGCATTCCACTTCTCAGCGGTTCTTACACCAAAACCCATCGCATTTAGATTAGTGGCTAGCTGATTCCACAACTGATTATTGGCACTAGCATCGCCATCAGAGTGCCCAAATTTGGGGCTTATTACTGAAGGGTTTTCTTCCATATAATCAACAATTACTCTCCACTGCATAGGATGAGTTTTAAAATCACGCTCTGAAATTGTTTAAACTTATCACTAAGTATCTACATGGTACCTATTAAGACCCTATTTGTCCGCTTGCCCTTTTATAAATATAGGATATTTGTAATTTGTAAATAACTTACCGATAATTAATTTAATTCCAAACTCCAACAAAAAAAAACTCGAAGAGTAAACAAACTTATTCAGCAAGTCGTAAATACCGTAAATCATAAATATAAAACAAAAACACTGCACCTAACCTATAAAAAAACAATTATTTTAAAAATTGAAGAATAGAAGATTTGATGGTGCATTAGAAAAGGATAGAAACAATGTCTCCATCAAAGCAAGACCTAAATCCGAACGACCTATGCCGAACGACCACCGAACGGGACACGAGAGGGGCCGAAGTGGCATACAGAAAGTGACCTCTACAGAATAGCATTTTGTGATAATAGAAAGAAATTTCTTTTATAGAGAGAAATCTCCATGTCTATGGCGTTAAAGAATACGCCTGCAGAGATATAGAAGAGATAGAGAATGAGCGTCAACATGCGGGCAGCAGGTCTAATCAAGTTGGGCGCCATATTCAGGTGCGTATTCATTATCCGAACGAACGAACGAACGAATGAAAGTGCGGTATATTTAGACGGGGACCGAACGCATGCGGCCGTTCGTTCGGTCGTGCGCTCGACCATCCGCTTCGGGTCGTTACATCAAAGGCGTTCGCCTGCGTGCGCTTTCAGATTTAAGGTGCGTATTCATTATCCGAACGAACGAACGAACGAACGAATGAAAGTGCGGTATATTTAGACGGGGACCGAACGCATGCGGCCGTTCGTTCGTTCGTGCACTCGACCATCCGCTTCGAGTCGGTACATCAAAGGCGTTTAGACGTCATAGTACAAAGAATACAAGGTATGATCGATAGCGGCTCCAATTTCGTTCAGTTCGCGCATACCACCTGTGACGTCACTAGGAAAATAATGAATAAATAAAAAATAAAGAAAGTTGACAGGAGATCTGCAATTTTTGGGGTTATGGTTAAGAATTGTTTATTTTAAGACTTTTTAGTTCGTTTAATTTAATAATTACTAAAACCAGCAGTTCCAAAAATATATTTAAAAATAATAATTATCTATTAACATGGATTTGGACGATAGGTAAGAATACTGAATTTATTTCTATATTCGGTATAAAATTGTTTATTAGGTTTTTAGTTTGCGATGTTTATGGTAAATAATTTTCATTTTCATTGCCTCTGAATTCACATGAGGACAGAGTTGAGGATATCTATGGAAAAGTAACCACAAGAGGAATTGTTACATCATTTAAAAAATATTGGGAAGTTTATTGTTTCCCATCGAAAAGTAGAAAATGCCAATGCAGATGAACGTATTGTAATTGTGATAGAAGTAATTCTAAGGGTGAAGTTTATTATAATTAGTGGAAGTAATACCAAGGGTGAAGTTTATTATAATTAGTGACCTCTGCTTCTTTTTATATGTAGAAGTTTCTGGTTTTGAGAATAAATCGGTTGAACGACACCCAAAATTTAAAGGAAGTATTTGCATACCCAGAATATGCCCATCAAGGATTATATAGCTCAAATTTCCTTTAATGGTAGGCAATTATTCAATGCAAATTAACTTTTTAAGTGACTAAAATATTAAATAGTTTACAATATGGTATATCACTAAAAATATATTACTTTTAGGTACAATTAGGGCCCGATACATTTCAAAAAGTAGAATATTATTTTATATTAAATGAGGTATTGTACTAACAATCAATTTATATTAATAACGGAGATTAAAAAATACAGAATAAATAGTTCTTTTTCTTATACTACAAAAATAAACTATAGAATACAACAGTATTTAAAAAAAAATAAAAAGTGATGTTCCGGCCGAGATTCGAACTCCGGTCTCTCGCTTCCTAGCCCGACTCCTTATGCACTGCTCCATAGTAACTTGCTTAGCGATAATTCAATGACGGTATATAAACAAAAAAAAACAGGTTTATAACAATATCTTGACGATTTGAACTGGCACGCGAATGAAGAAATGCGTGCGGTCTTCTCGTGCGGTTCTATCGTGCGGTCCCCGTCCATACCACTAGCGAACATTCGTTCGTTCGTTCGTTCGTTCGTGCGGATAATGAATACGCACCTTTCTAGGTCTCCGTATCATTTTGTATATAGGTGGTAATCTATAAGGAATCAAATATCAATTTGCTGTTTTCAACTATACAGGGGGCAATTTAAATTTAGTGAAATTCTATTATTTATTATGGATGTATAAATACCTATCAGTAGATATATAGCTGTAGAACATTAATATGATTTATTTAATTATCATCAGTTTCAAAATTGCGTACAATATTGGTATATAAAACACTAAATATACGAATATTCTGACAAAAGACGCTACGAACAGATGACCTTTTCTTAGTCGTAACACTCGAAATGCCATTAAATAAGTATTTACAATTATTTAATGTTTACTTATGTACTAAATTACGTGTTTCAATTTAAAATTTTTGCAAATATGGTAAAAATTGTTCTAAACAACTTTTTGTTCAAGTTGTATATTCATAAAACACTTGGTTCATAATTATTTTTGATGATTGCCTTGTATTTTTAATATAAACCTAGAAAAATATGTTTTTGTTTTATTTTTTTATTTTATTTTTTGATTTGTCCCTTCAAATACCAGATGATCGAATAAAAACGGCGTCAGCGATGGCTATGAAATGAAGATCGCTGTCATTTTATATGTAAAATTATATGGGAAATGTCATCGATTGTCATTTAATGTTCCATCTCTGACGCCGTTTTTATTCGATCATACGGTATTACTGTTACATAACATGTTCTCTAACAAATATTTTCATAATACATAAACATCATTGATTTTATTAAGGATATTATTATTAGTATTTATCCTGGTTTTCGTCGACAATAAAAACTCTAAATCTTCTAACAGAACATCAATTTTATATTTCGTAAAATTATTTTGATACAAATTCAATTTGTCAAAATTCAAGTCATTAATATATTGATAAATAACCCCGGACTATTCCTAAATATTTTATTATAAAAAAAACTGTTACCGATAAGTTTGTAAAACACATTATGGTTTGTCTTAATACTAGGAAAAATAATTTATTTTTTGCACAAAAGAAGCTTGCCGATCCTTATTTGTCCATAATAAAATTCTGTATGTACAATATACATATACCTAATTTATTATTAAGAAAATTAGATTATATGAACTCAGAATTTTAAGAAATTTTTTTTAAGATAAAATAGTTTCTTTTCAACTGTAATACTTTGGCCTGTATTTTATCTATTTAAAAACATGGAATTGACAATCCCCTTACTAAATAAAATACATACTGGAAGGTACTGATTAAGTTTCACTGCATCAAATACCTTTGCTATAAATCCTGGCTCACAATCACCTGGCCATTGCAAAATGCTTTTGAACTTCATCATAGATTTTACAAGAATAAAATTGAAACAAACACTCTTAAAGTAAAAGAATCCGATCACTTCATGACTAATAGTCTCATTTTTAACACTCTTTAAATATCATCTCATTAACAATTATGAATATCATATGATTTTTCTCCGTGATTTGTGGTACAGATACGAATTACTATATGCCCCATAACAGTTTTTAAATA